GATCGTCTTTGGTTCGGCATTCTTAATCAAAGCCTCTGCTTGAGCAGGGCTAACTTCGATGCCTCTGCGGTTGACCACGTATCCCAAAAATTGACCGGAACTCACATCGAACGAGCACTTGGTTGGATTGAGCCTCATCCCATATCGCCTCAGCACATCAAATATATCTTGCAGGTGTTTCAGATGATCATTCTTCTTCCTACCCTTTACCACCATATCATCAATATAGGCTTCCACAATCTTTCCTATTTGATCCTTGAAAATTTTGCTAACAAGTCTTTGATAAGTTGCTCCCGCGTTCTTTAGTCCGAAAGGCATAACTTTGTAGCAGTATGTCCCTCGCTTGGTTACAAAAGAAGTTTTTTCTTCATCTGCCGGGTCCATAGGGATCTGATTATAACCTGAATAAGCGTCTAGAAAGGTTAAGCATTCATACCCGGTGGTAGCATCCACCATTTGATCAATCTTTGGCAGCGGGAAGCTATCCTTCGGACAGGCTTTGTTCAAATTGGTGAAATCAATGCATACTCGCCATTTCCCATTCTTCTTCTGCACGACAACGACGTTGGACAACCAATCAGGGTAGTGTACTTCTCTGATAAATCCCGCATCAAGCAGCCTATCAACTTCCTCGGCTATGATTTGGTTGCGTTTTGGAGCAAATCTTCGTTGCTTCTGTTTTACTGGTTTGAAATTGGGATTGACATTCAAAGAATGGCAGGATACGGAGGGATTAATTCCAGGCATGTCTAGGTGACTCCATGCAAATACATCGGCATTGTGAGACAAGAAGTCAGCTAGCTCTTGCCGCTCTTCCCTGGTCAGTCTTATTCCTACTCTGGTAGTTCGTTCTGGCCTGGACTGATCGATTTGCACATCCAGAAGGGGCTCTTCGGTCAAGTCAACTGACCCCTCCACCCTGTTCTGCTTGGGCGGAGGTTCCTGTAACTGCTATCTGGGGCTTGCCGGTCGGACGGGCGCCTTCCCTTTCCCAGCATACTTTAGTGTGACGGAATAGCACTCTTTGGCTGCAACCTGATTCCCACGAATGTCTATTACCTTATTTCCATCGGGTCCGAGGCACCTCATGACCTGATGCAAAGTTTAGGGTACTCCTTGGACTCTGTGAATCCATCCTCTTCCCATCAGGAGATTGTACGAGGGGTGAATCTCTACAACCACAAAAGTTTTAATAAGAGCTCATTCTGCAGCTTAAACTTCTACTTCTACCATTCCGACGGGCTCCACCCTCTTGCCATCGAATCCTAACAAGGGATTTCCAGTGGGTTTGAGCCTCTCTGGTTTAATCTCGAGCCGATCAAATGTGTCCCTCGGCATGACATTCGCACTGCTCCCGGGATCGATCAGAACTCTGCGCACCAAGCAGTCCGCCACTGTCAAACTGACTACCAACGGGTCTTCATGGGGGATTTGAACACGCTGCAGGTCTGTCCTGTCGAACTTTATCTGTATCGATGTGATCTGCTGGTGTAGAGTATTTACACTGCTGACCCTTTTCTTCATCTGCGCCTGCCGTAGGCGCGCTCGGAGCAGCTCATCTGAATCTTCGCTGGGCTCGGGTCGACCGTGGATAGCATTGATTATACGAACTGGTTGTAAATTGTGGGAGCTTTGTTTATGGCTCCTTTTTACTTGTTCCATCGGTCGATTCTGCTCTGTCGCCGAGCCTTGAAAATAACTCACGAACTCCCCTCTAGCTATCAACATCTCCACTTGCCTTCTCAAATTCCTGCATTCATTAGTCTGATGACCGAAATCGGAATGGAAAGCACAATGTTTAGTCTGATCCCTCTGTTCGAGGGGTTGCCTAATTGGCAGTGGTGGATGAAACTTATCTTTGTTCTCCTGATATAGCCTCGCCAGAGTGACCTTCAGCGGAGTGATCAGCTCTTCCTCCCTGGACCTCTTTTCTGTCTTCCAGGAGGTCTGACGCTGCAGCTGAGCCTGCTTCTGCCTGATCTTTGCCTTGGACTTTTCCTCGGTCGACACGAGCAACGCTGTCCGAGCATTGGCTGCCTCCTCTTCTTCTAGGCGCACAAAGCCGTCGGCTCTTTCATTGAGTTCATCCATAGTCGTCGGCGTGTTCACTACCAGACTGGTATGGAACGGAGTGCCACGTGTCATGGCTAATTTGAAGGCTTGAACCGCTGTAGAAGGGTGGCATTCGATCACCATACTCTTAGTGAGATTAAACCTGGTGAGAAAAGCCTGGAGACGTTCATCTTTGTGCTGTCTCATTGTGAATAGGCTTGAGATGTCCTTTGGCGGACGCTTGTTCCCATAGTACTGACTTATGAACCGATCGCACAGATCTCGGAAGCTACCAATGGAGCTCTTAGGCAAGTTCTTGAACCAGCTGAGCGCCGGTCCAGCTAGGCTTGTAGGGAAACATTTGCACATTAATGCGTCGTTTTCCGTATTCAGGGCCATCTTCAACTGGATATGGTACACATGATCGATCGGATTGGTTGTTCCGTCAAACAGAATAAATACTGGTATAGCAAACTTCCTTGGATGAGGGGCATTCAGGATCTCGTCGGTGAATGGTGAATCAACCGTTCGAGCTGCGGATCGGAGCGCTTCATTCTCTCTTTGGCGCCCAGTGGTAGCTCTGTGGGCTACGGTTCTGCTCTCCGAACCGCGATGAGTGATTGTAGCCATGGAGGGCCGGTAGGACGGATCGAACGACCGTTCCTCTATGAGCTCTCTTTGCCAAGGCGACGCAACTTGGCGGCGATCAACCTCTATCACCTCCTCTCGGTTGAACCTTTCCCGATACGGATCTAAGGTCATGGCTTCGTTCTGTCTGATCTGCTCATGTCGCGGATCAACGTGAGTCGATTCTTCGTGATCCTCAACTCGACGAGCATTTGGCGGCAAATCATCCATCCTTCTTCCATCACGGTGGAGAGCTGACTGACTGTTCTCGTCCTGCTCACCTTGATGCGCGATATTAGATTGAACACCTCCTTCTCCGCCCGGAGGTGGACGCGAAACCGCGGGCATTTGCTGATGTTGCATTCCAGCTTTCAATTCTGCATTCTCTTTTTTGAGAGCCTCGATCAAGTTCATCAACTTCTCAAGCTTTGTTTGCTGGACAGCTTCCATCGGATTGGAGCTTTCACCTATCATTATTACTGAACGGAGTAAAGACATTAATCTCAAGTTCGCGAGTAGATCCGAGCTTCGTGAGTGGGAATTTTTCAGATCTGGTTTCGAATTCTCCGAATTATGCTCACGGTTGACGAGATCTGAATTGTTCGAATTCTAAATCCGTCAGATCCTGCCACAATCGAACAACTCGTTGTTGCGTAGATCTGAAGCCACTTCTGCCAAAGCTACAGGAACTAAAATTCCTCCAGAGTAGGTCACAATCGCTCAGATCTGGATCCAACTCCCAAAGATCGAGTCTCGATCACCCGAATTGGTCTGAATCCACGCGATATTAATCATTGATCAACCAATCTTCCATGCGTTCCCACAGACGGCGCCAATTGAAGATACAAGAAATTCCTTCCCTCTTTCTCTCTCTAGAATTCTTGTATTTCAACCAAAAAAATATCTCCTCTTTCTTTCCATTACTTCTCCTATTTATAGATATTTACAAATGTTGATGGACTGCTGGATCTAGGCCCGTTCCTCCATGAGTCCTGGTCATCTTTGATGGGCTTATTCGCGTTCGGCCCATATGGCAGTGTCTTTCTATGGGCCTGACCCATCTGTACGGACCGAATGTCGCGTTTGCAAGTCATATCCGGCCCATGTCATCTCGGGCCTCCTCAGTAGAACATGAGAAATTTTTTTTTTTTTTTTTTTTTTTTTTTTTTTTTTTTTTTTTTTTTTTAAACCTGGCAAGAAAATAAGGCAAACGCCATACGGCATATACATTCAAGAACATCGACCAAAGACAAAGAACCAATTACACAGATAACATGAACAGTCAGATAACCAACCAAACCTAACTAACACCTCTCATAGTCAAGATTAGAGTCTTGACATTCTAGGAAAAGATGTCAATTATATTGGGAAGACCATCACCACAAAAGAAAGATGCATCGCCAGACACAAAAGTCCAAGTCCAACGTACTCAAAAGCCTGGCCCACTAAAAGCTAAAAGAAACTGTTAGACTACTTTGCCTAGACGTTAGCCACGATGTCATAGTTTCCTAACCGAAAAACCAAAAATCGACCTCTGAGACCGACCTACCAAAGAACCTCCAAGCACCACAGAGTAATCATCAGTGATGGCAAACGCTGATAAGAAACGCATATTCATCAGAGACAAACCCCACAGATCAACTGCTCATTGCAAAGTGCTCCATAACAATAAACTCCAGGTAGAAAAATTCATTGCCGGCGACCCAAGAAAGCCATTCTGAATACCCACAAGAATAGAACAACAAATCGTAGCCAAAACCCCAGAAGGCGTGGATACAACCGCAGCGCAAAGGGTCACCAAGCCATGCTCCGACGTCTAAATAGATGAAGACTTCACATATAGCTAGTTCCTTGTGCAAAGTTTGTTTCTTGAAATTTGAGAACTGACCCATCAAATCAAAAAATCAATTACCATAAATGAATCTAAATTCCTTTCAAATTGTCACTACAACAAATATGAGACAGATTTTTTTGACCCAATCACAAAAAAACGATATTTCTGACAAAAGAAAAAAATTGTCACGAAAAATATAATATTTGTGACGGAAGAAAAAAATTGTCACGAAAAGAAGGTATTTGTCACGGAAGAAAATAAAATTGTCACAAGAAAAGAATACTTATGACAGAATAAAGAAACTATTACAAAAAAATTGACAGAAAAAAAAAATTATTTGTGACAGGTGCTTCAATTTATGCCACAGATGATTTAATTTTTTAATTAACTTTAATTTTTTACAGTCTCAAATTTTTTTTTAGTGGTGAGGGAATAAATATCCTCACGACTCTCATCCAGTCAAATACTACCGGAGTCACTTTTACTCGGTGCATTAATCTCAGATTGAGGGTATCTTATCAGGTCACTCACTCACCCACTCAGTACAAACCTTGTGACTCACACTATTGCGAGCCAACTCACTCACTCGGTTCACAGCATCAAAGACGGATATCAGGTATCGCTCTCATTCATGCTCTCTCAACGGACTGAATCTCTTCTCTCTCCTCGGCATCGCCCGACTGAATCTCTTCTCTCTCCTCGGCATCGCCGGTCTGAATCACCTCATCCACTTCCATTGCCTCTCTCAAATTACTCGCCGATCAATTCCGGAGAACAATCAGTGAGTCAAAGAACGTCATTGAAAGAATTTCATGTTGTGGTTGTATAATAGATTATTGATTCTCAATGTATATATAGTAGGTTGCACTTGCGACTGATTTGAAAGATTTTTTTGAGTTTGATTTAGGGCTGTGAAATTGGCTTCGACTGATTTGAAAGATTTTTATTTTTATTTTGATTTAGGGCTTTGAAATTGGCTTCAAAATGCAATAGAAAGTCAATGTTGCCTCTCAGTTCCACCATTAAATCAAATCTTCAAACATCTCCAGCTTCTACTTAGCAGATCCACTTCGTCACCTATCCACAAATTCTTCTTTTCCAGGTTCCTTTCTATATATCCAAATTCTGTGATATATGTACATTGCAGAGTTGAATATTTGCTTATTTTAAAGGTATGACTTCAAAGTTCCTTGTAAGATTGTTTGGTTCAAGTGTCTACTTTGTTCTTGCTGTTATGGAGTTATACAATAAATTGTGCACTGTGTGGTTTGTATTATATTTATACAAATTAGTATTCCACTTCTAAATTATCATGGATTTAAGTCCTTGAAGAATCAAATATGAAGTGATCTATATTTTACCACAGTAGCTAAATTACATGGTCCAGCTAGAAAATCTCTGTTTGTTTTGTCGACCAGGAATTGAGTACCTTGCCGCATTGGCTGAGGCTCTTACATCTAACCTGATAGGGAATGACTTTATTTTGTTGAACTTTGAATGATGAGTTAGTATATCCCTGGGCATTATGGAAGAATATAGAACAAGTATTAAATAGCATTCACAACCTAATAAATAGCATTCATTATTAGGTTCTGATAACATTTTCAATTGAACCTCTTCTAACATATTTCGAGCTGCACATTGGTATGTATGAACACGTACTGTTGTTTTCCTCCATTCTCTAATTTTAGTCTCAACATTATGAAGCTTTTCAGTCAGAAATATGTAGGGTCGCCACAAACACTGATTTCCCAGGCCGGTCTTTTGCGTGACTAAACTAATCATCAAAGATTTTTCTTTTTAATAATAATAATTTTTTTTTTTTTGGGGGGGGGGGGGGGGGGGGGGGAGAAGGTGCTGATGTGTCGGGACTAAGAAATGATTTCACCCACATCGCCGATTGAGATTTTGGTAAAATTCAATCAACGATTTCACCCACATCGCCACCATCAACGATTTCACCCATATCCCCATCTCTCTCTCTTTGTCTTTCACAAATACACACTCCTAACCGGCAAAACCATTTCATCATCATTCTCTCACACATACCCCTAAAGCAGCAAACCCATTTCCTCACCACTTTCTCTCTCCTCCAAACTTTCTCTCTCTACACTCTCACATCTCTACAATCGTCTTGATCCATCTCATCTTCCTCCTCATAACTCTCACCACTCTCTTCAACGCCGTCACTTCCGAGTCCAACTCGGACTGAGTCGCAAAGTCTCAAACCACCTTCGCACAGTTCGGCATCAAAGCCCTCCCTCACTATCTGAACAGCGGTAGGGAAGCGGCGGCGGCATAGAGCTCTGAAGAAACCACCGACGATGATGATGAACTTAGAAGACGCCGGTGAGTTTGGGCGAATTTTCCGGCAATAATGAACTTACAGGCTGTGGACAAAGAGCTGACGGGCTACTGCCCGGTGAGCCGCCCTCTTGAGCCGTTGGAGGACTTAGCGAAATCAACAATTTTGCGAAGCGAAATCAACAATTTTGCGAAGAGAAATCAAGCAATCATCAGCATGGTTGTTGATTTTTCTGATCGATTGAACTACTTCTTACTTTGAGATTGGAGGAGGTAATTTGGAGGAATGGTCAGATTCTGGCGGTTGATCGGATCATAGGTGGATGAGATGGCGGAGGGTGAGGTTGGGGACGAAGTCGGTGGTGTCGAGGATCTGCATGGTGGCGGGACAGGTGTTGTGGCCAGATTAGAGCCGGGTTTGGATGCTGGAACGGTCGTAGGAGACGCCGGTAAAGATGAGAGCTTGCCGCTGGAGTTTGGTTGATGGGTTGGGTTCTTTGGATCTGTAGATGAAGAAGTCGATGGACTTGAGACGTTGAAGAACAGATGGTGAGGTAGCGAGTCTGGGTGGTTGTTGTTGATGTGGGTCTTCTTGGGTTTGTGGTTGTTGTCTCTGGATTGCTAGGCTAGAGGTGAAGAAAATGGTGCCGATCATGACGTTGATGGTGACAAAGGGTGATTGGTATCATCGGGATGGGTCTGTGCAGAGAGAGAGAGATTGGAGGAGAGAGATGGCTAATGTGTGAAGTATTTTGCCGACGTGGATATTCCTTTCTCTCTCCGGGGCATTGGTGTATGTTGAGGGTAGTTTGGTCACAAAAATAGTCAACACGTGGTCAAAGGGTAGCATAGTCATTTAACACCTCAAAAGTACTTTGACCCCACCAAAAATTGACATTTGGGGTGTAAGTGAAATGTTAAACCATTAATTCAAATATAAGTGAAATTTAAAACCAAAATCTTCATCTAGTTGAAATATGGCCTAACCTCAAGAGGTGAGAGTAATTTGCCCTAAAATTTAACAAAAATCAGTGTCTTTCAACTCTTATAATGGATTTCTAAGGAAGGTGTATCTTATAGTTGTGAAAGTCATGAAAGTGTAAAGAAGCAATAAAGTAATTAATAAAAAATGTTCAAATCCTGTAAATTAGGCATGGAAGGGGTTTGATTTCCATATATCCACTCATATAGTGCTTTTTGTGTGAGTGGATTTGATGGGGTAACAGTATCATATTCGACAGTTGTGATTGCTCATGTGTGTGGATTGCTAGCACAGGTTGAAAACTAAAAGTGAAGTATAATTGTGTAAGCTGAGGACAATTGAGTGTGAATATCATTACTAAAATCATACTTTGAAAGGCGTAACATCGATTGGGGCATGAACAGGCAGTCGGCGACAGCAATGACTACGGTTACATTTGTGGCGTCGACTATCTAAACTGTAAATTGCTTTACTAAACTTGCTTTAATTTTGGGTATTTAATCTTTCTCGACTTTTTTGTTTTGCCTTAAAAGACCCAAATATGGAAACCCAGTTTTGGGTACCAAGTATTTGATGTTTGTGTCTGACCTGTGTCAAAGATGGTTTCTGTTCCAGATGTTAGAAGTGAAGGTTCTTTATTTTGTGATTGTAGTATATGTATGCTCAGAGCCAGCCATGTTCAAAGTGTAGATTTGCATATGGTAATGGTATTAGTATGCCCTGCTCACCTCTATCATTGAACTCTTTGGTGAATGACAATTGTTCGATAAAATGCCTCAGTTAATGTAGTTATTCCAGCTGGTAATATCTTATCAGGGGGGAAAAAAAAAACCTAGTAATTCATGGCTTTTGAGATGAAATCAATAGTGAATCAGATTTCGGAATTACTGTTACAAGCTATCTTGTGATTTCATTGACAAACTGAAGTAAATGAGTGTGAGTTATTGACCATGAGATAGTCTGGGCTATGTTGTGATTTTAGTTTGAGTAGTGCTATTGCGAGCGCGCGCTCGCAATAGCACTCACACGCACCCCAATTTCAGCCACAGGATAAGTTTTTTCTAGAGATTCGGGACAACTAAGGAAAATAGAAGCCTCATTTTCTCTCTCTTCTCATCACGTTTGGTCTCTTTAACCCAACTCTCTCTCTCCTGGTTAACTCTCATATCACTTTTCTCTCTCTCTCTCTCTCACATTGTCTCTCTCAAAACCGGGTCTCTCTGAAAATCCTTTCCCAGAGAGAAGCTGATTGGAACATCAGTTAACAAATGAATTAAAAGATTTCATTTTTTTCATACTCTCCCTCTAATCTTTTGATGGTTTGCTCAGAGAGAAGGAATGGAGAGAGGAAAGGGATGGAAGAGGAGATCACGACCATGCTTTAATGGTTACTTTGTTATTTTAAAATTTTGCAATTGCAACTGAGTGTGTTTAACATTTAGAAAATTTGAAAACAGAAATTTGAAAGAAAATAAAAGTCTATACATAAATAAAATGGGGGATGGACTATGAAGAAGAAGTATCAGCTCCTCCACGCTTATATATATATATGGAGAAACCAAGGTTGATTTAAAGATTGTACCTATGGATAAATAAATAAATAAATTTATTTAAATAATTCGGATGAATATCACATGTAAAGACTGGTTTCAATTTTAATCAAAGGTTTGAAAGACAAAACATGAAGAAGATTAAATTTCTCAGGCAAAAATGCTCTTATAAATGAATAGCCTGTAATATTAAAAGTGTTTGAAACAAATATTGAACTTCATAAAACTAGAACAGAAACAGGTAAATGTGGTTACAACTTCAAACATTGAAAATCTGGAAGGAATCAATGATAGCGTTCTTCAATTTTTTCACACCCAGTTCAAAGCCGTCCTCTCCATCATCTGTTGCTCTCCGCCACCGGTAACAACAGACCCACCTCTTACTGGTTCCTTCCTTTGCTGCCTTGCCAACTCGCCGACCAACTCTTTGGTCCTTCACTTCACTGGACCGTTCTGAAACTCATCGAGAAATCCCCATGGTCTCTGGTCCTCCACTCTTCTCTGACCTTCTCTTCTTCTTCTATTAGGACGTCGCCTCCTTTAGCAGCTTCTTCTCCGTAGCTGTCTTTGTCTCGGCCTTGGGAGCCATTTTAGAGAGAAGAGAGAGAAAAGTGATATGAGAGTTAACAGGAGAGAGAGAGAGTTGGGTTAAAGAGACAAAACGTGATGAGTAGAGAGAGAAAATGAGGCTTCTATTTTCCTTAGTTGTCCCCGAATCTCTAGAAAAACTTATCCTATGGCTGAAATTGGGGTGCGCATGAGTGCTATTGCGAGCGCACGCTCGCAATAGCACTACTCTTTTAGTTTCATTAACTAGCAATAGCACTAATCTTTTAGTTTCATTAACTAGGCGATGTAGCCTATGTGTTACAATTATCTCTAATTACATAGCTAACCTAACCATGCATGTATAGTAATTCAACTGTTAAAAAACTAGGAAGAATAAATCTGTTTTTTTAGCAAGCCTGCATTTGAAAGAAATTCAATGACTACTTTTTTATGTATCATAGAGCTTGCTACTTCATATTTCTACTATTTAACTAAATTATTGTCATTTTGTTTCCACTTGAGCATGATTTTGTGACGTAAGAGTTTGTATTATGGTATTATACATCGTGAAATTTGCATTGCTCTCTGCTCTTAAGTTTAAACTGTAATTACTAATGAGTTGCTTTTAGTAGTAGAGTGTTGCCTTGACAGAGCGCATTAGATAGTGTTCTATGGTATAAATAATGGGGGATTAAGGTTCTAACATTTTTTGCCCAAAACAAGATACTTGAACTGTAAATGACTAAAAAAAAAAGGCGGAGAATTGAAAACTGTCAGCTGCTTTAATTTTCAGCTGAAAATAAACGGCATGAAGTGAAGGCGGCAATACTGACTTCCTACTCATCTATAATCTATGGGGTTGATATTTAATAGTGGACCTCAGATACTTCAGTCTCCAGAACCTCTTTGAATGGAGCATTTTTGCAGGTTTTTGACATACTCAGTAGTATTGTTCGCTGACTTGGGCGTTGCATTTTGCTAATTTTTCTTTTTCTACTCTCTTGTGCATCCAAAGCATAAACATAAAATTTTTATTAGACTGGCAGATGACCTGTTTTTGGCTCACTATGTTCTTAATTAGAACTTATTTTGAATTATTCATTTCTTGATTAAGATGCTGATTTCATACGATCTTTCACTTCAAATCCATCAGACGATTATTTGATTTTTTTTTTTCTTTATTTTATTTTATTCATATTTCTGACAGGGAATTCCTTGGTGGCAAACGCCAATTAGCTACTGTAAGCATAAAATCAAACAAGGACAGTTACGGCTTTTGGATTCTGACATTACCTTCCCTCACTCCTTTCCCCCACCCAGTTTTAATTTTAACCTTCCTCTTCGCAAAATACTTAACCATAAATTTCCATTTCCAAACCTCAATGTCTCTCAGGAAACCCCCACTCCCTCGGCTCCTCCTTAACCAGGTCTCATGCATGAGAAATGCACAACAAATCCTACGACACGTAAATGTCTCCATTCATGATGGTGGTGCTCTTGTGCTGATGGGCACCAACGGTTCGGGCAAATCCACTTTCTTGCGCATGTTAGCTGGATTCTCTCGACCCTCAGCTGGTGAGATCCTCTGGAACGGTCATGATATAACTGAATCAGGGGTTTTCCACCAGTACAAGCTTCAGCTCAACTGGCTCTCCCTCAAGGATGCAATCAAAGAGAAGTTCACAGTCCTCGACAACGTTCAGTGGTTTGAAGTTCTTGAAGGCAAGCAAGGGAAGTCTCTGCCTGCGCTAGAGCTTATGGGGCTTGGAAGATTGGCAAAAGATAAAGCAAGAATGCTCTCAATGGGCCAACGGAAAAGGGTGCAGCTTGCAAGGTTGCTGGCAATTGATCGGCCAATTTGGTTGCTAGACGAGCCTTCAGTGGCATTGGATACTGAGGGGGTTAAGCTGCTGGAGTATATTATTGCAGAGCACCGAAAGAAAGGAGGGATTGTGATTGTGGCCACACATCTGCCAATTGAGATTGAGGATGCAATGTATTTGAGGTTGCCACCAAGGTTTCCACGAAGGATGACTCTAGTAGACATGCTTGATCGAGGTGGTTAGAGAATGGAATTGGTAATGTAATTAAACCTGCAAGAATTGGGATTGAACTATAAGAGGCTTTCTGGAAGGTGCAAAAGTTTAGCAAAAAACAAAAGCTTTGAAAGCTCGAACAGGGAGAACTGCAGTCCTCAATATGGAGGCAGTTCCTTTGCTTGAGAGTTGAAGGAAATTGTAGTTTCGTTGTCCATTGCATTTGAGAACATTATATATATATATATTAGTTGTTGGTGATTTCATGTAATATCTTACTGGATTGAAAAATGCCGATTACTTTGGATTTGAAATTCTGATATTTGGATTTATTAAGGTAAATTATTTGGTCGGCTGGTTGCATGACTAAAAAGGAGAATTGATTAGAAAATTATCTCAGAACCTTTTGAATTTGAAACTAGCATGCCATTTGCAGATTCATCTTGATTTGGTCTGTACTAAAAAGGTCTCTCTATATACCGTTTGTGATAAAATTGATACAAATGCGAACCATTGGCAACATCTAATTCCATAATTTGCATGTTCATTTTGGTGGGAAATTTCTTGTTTGTGGGCTATTAACCATTTCATATATATTTTCAGTGATTTGAAAACTTCTTGTGAAATCAATAAGCTAAATAATTCATGGCAGAAGAGGTTTCTGGTTTTTTTTTCGGTTGAGAGAGAGATGATGGCTGCGGTTGAAAGGATTAACTATCGCGGAGGTGAAGGAGGGGTATTTTAACTTTAGGTTGTGTAAGACAATTTCAAAGGAATGTATTAGATTGTTAGTACTAATTTGATTTGTTTGGTCTGATGTTTCTCAATTCAAGAAACAAACTTTCTTCTACTCAGAGGGACTTTTGAAGGACTTTTATTTTTATTTTTATTATTAAAGGACTTTTGAAACCCACAGATGAATTTGTTGGTCTTGAAAAAAAAGTAGAAAAATAATGGACAATACTTAGGTCCTAACTGATGTGGGCCAATACAATTTAGACACATGTTTAAATTTTAATTTTTTTTTAATAAGGGTTATTATTCAACTTCTTAGTAGTTAAACACAAATCCAATTTTTTTTTTTTTTTTTTTCCTTTCCCTATTTAAGATTTTTAGAATCTCTCTTTTAACATGACTCCCTTCTCCCACAAATCTTCATACCCAAACTCAATCTGAAATCTTAATTTATCTATATCAATAAAAAAAACACAACTTTTATTCAATACGTAAAACAATATATAAACCAATAAAAGCTCATAAATGACACAAAACTGCACCAACCAGCATTCAAAAACTTTTAATATATATATATATATATATTTTTATATTTTCCACCAACTAGAGAAAGAGGAAAAAAAAAAAACCAATCATTGGCCCTGTCAATTGAAGGCGTTGGGAACTTGGAAGGGATGTAAAAGATAGATTTAACTAGACCAAAAACTATATATATATATATATATATATATATATATATATACAATAAAAGCTCTATTCAAATATAGATTAATATCAAATTTTCCTCTTATTCCTTCCCTGTTCAACACTTGATACACTATATTCTTCAAATAAATTTAGTAATTTTTCAATTTGGGTACAAAAACAATCGTATTCTTTTGGAAAAAATAAAAAATAAAAAATAAAAAAATCTTTGGGATTCATGGGTAATGAATATTTTAAAAAAAATTAAAATTTTAAACGTGTTTAAATTGTATTGAGCAACGTCAACTGAGAGGATGAACTTTATTCTCCAAAAGGAGGACCAAGTATTATCCAAAAATAATTAAATTACAATGAAATTGACAGTTAAAATAGAGACTTGAAATAAAAAGTGAGCGCAAAAATATATTGGAGTAATTTTTTTTTAGAAATTTCCTTTGCATTCTAACCAAACTTAAAAAAAATTCTATTTCCGTAATGGAAAGTTACATGGATTTCTATAAGCGACTTAAAAAGGAGAGAGACTAATCCTTGTTGGACACTGCTTTAGATCGAGTTGACAAAATTACTCTTAGCATTACTCTTTTCGGTATCTCTACTTCAATGTATATATATGTATGTATATATATATATATATATATATATATAAAGACACAAAGACTAATAAGTTTTGCAACTAGAGGAAAGAGGTTTTCTGTTTAGAGATCGAGAGGTATGGAAGGTGGGTACGGGAGAGAGATGAAGGCTGCGGTTGAAAGAGTTAATGGTACAAGAATTAATGTGTTCGAGTGGAAGCAGGAAGAGTTTTCCAGCAATGAGGAGGTGGGATTCTTCATGCTCCGTTTATGTACTACTAGTAATGGTACTCCTAAGAAAGACGAACATGTTGTCAAATTCTCTCTCCATCTGTTGTTCTCTCGAGACTTCTTCCCATCATTGATCGATACCATTCGGTCCAAACAAGTTTTCTTGGTAGACACTAATGCTCTTAGACTATCAAGAGATATTTTTCTGTACGTCGTCTGTAATTTCCAATTCACCTCCATGCCAAACTCGTTTGCTTCAAGAAAGTCCAAGATCGTCATCGTTGCAACCGCTTTTGTCAACAGATTTGCTGATGAAAAAGTGGATGATGGTGATTCAACGGATTTAAAAGTTGAAGAAGAAGCTAAGGATAAGAACTCGATGGATGATGATGATGATAATAATAATAATAATGGCTCAAACATGGTTGGGGAGAAGAAGGCAGCTTATTATTTGGAGGCAAGGAAGAGGCGCCATTTGGGAATTGTAAGCAGGTTAAGACGTTTTTTAAACATTGAATTACCAGTTGCAACTCATGAACCAGCTGAAGTTTTGAAAAAAATTAATGCTGCGGTGAAGACGAACAGATTGATTGGCCATCGTAGACCACCCGCAGATATGTGTCCCATATGTCTACATGGGTTCTTAAAGGGAGCGATTGTCACGACGACACCATGTTCGCACGTATTCCATAGGAATTGCATGGTGAGGTGGATGCTAAAAAATAAATCCTGCCCAATGTGTCGATCACTCTGCGCTACTGTAGTTCATATATAAATTTACTTATATTATTATGAATTGATTGTTTCATTAATTCTCTCTCTTGTGATTTAAGTGTGAATAATAAGAGTAGAAGTTTGTGATTTGTGGTTCCAATTGTTGTTTCGGATGGATCGTTAAAAGTGAGCTTTGTGTTTTGATAAGTTTGTTTGCTTGCCGGTTGTGAGCGTTATTTAGTATTTTCTTATAATCGGTATGTAAAGGTGTTTAAGGTTTGGAATAAGACCAGAGAAAATACTAAAAATTGTAAAAAAGAGGGTGAAAGCAAGAATTAAGATTTGAGGATTGAAACTTGAAATCTATTGAATTTTTGAGTAGTAAATTTTTTCGCTGGATCTTCACGTGAACGTTGTCAAAGCTTGTGCCCAACCACATAAATATTTATGTCTTGTATGATGCTTGTTTTTATTGTATATCGTGATTATTTCTTGATCATGATAGTTTGGTCATAACTAATAACTTCTTGTTCATGATGGTTTGGTCAAGGCCTGGTTAGGGAGACTTTAACCAACTCATGCAGTGACTGATCCCATGCAGTGACTTATTGGGATCAGGGACAGAGGGAGTGTAGACGGATTTTCTCCCGCCCTTTCATTCTTTGTACATCTTATAATCTATGTATATTTTGCATGAATTGTGTAAAGTGGCCCATGAATTTTCTCTCTTCCTCATATTCTATATATGTTTTCTTATATCTCTTTTTTTTTTTTTTTTTCACTAGGATCTCAAATTTTTCTAGATGAGTTTCTATTTCCTAAAAAGGATGATATATAACTTTTTACACGTAAAGAAAAAAAATTCACTAATCAAATTTGTTTGGGCTTGTGTTTTTTATTTTTTATTTTTATATTTATTTTTCTTACCGTAAGAGTGTCAAACCTCTTATAGCATATGATAATAGACGATTATCATTTAAAATTAATTAATTAAACATATAAAAAAATAAAATTGACCATATAAAATAAGTTAATTATTTTGTATTTAAGTATCTTTAAAAACACGCGGTGTAACCGTGTAACTATACCATGAGGTCCATGAACCGTGTTGAGACATGAGAGTATGGCGCTTTGTTATTTTTTTTTTATTTTTATTTTTTATTATTTTTTTTTTTCTCATATATTAAAGAATATTATTATAAAAGGGAAGTGATATTCTTTATCCAAAAAGAAACTCTGGCGCTCCACTCATATTTTTAATTAAATTTAAATGACTGAAAAGTCCCCTTCCCTCCCTCTCGGTTTCTCTCCTTTCCTATTACCTAAAATGTCTTCTTCTCGATCATGGCCTCCAAAACTAATTACAACTGACTAATTCTTCTTCACATGGCCTCCGAAACCAATTACAACTGAATAAAAATGGAGACACACCATTACAATTATCTTATCAAAGAAAATAACTTGCTGTACTCATCATTGATATGAATTTCACGCAATTTGTAATTCGAAGCTAGATTTGAATGGCATTTAGTAACATCATGATGGAATAAATTGTAAATGAAATTCACAATTTGAAATTCCAGTAACTTTGTCCTTTGATTTGCCAAATCTTTCTACTCTTCTATGATAATTGACTTTATATTTCATTTTTTTATAGGTTTCTCAAATAATAAATTAAAAAAATATAAAGTAGTGGATGAACAGCTAATGGAGAAGCATGGAGATAAAAGGATAGACCGAGGATAGAAGAATCAAATTTAATAAACCTGAATATATTCATTGAAAGAAGAATCAAATTTAATAAACCTGAATATACTCATTGAAATAGTGAAATCAAAAGGCTCAAGAATACTCCGGCCAGTAAAATTGAAGCTTTGGAAGAAGGGGGAGGGGTGGTAAGATTGTAGGGTTAAGAGAGACACCGTGGTTGAAGGATTTAAGGAGATATGCAACAGTGGTTGGAAATGGAGGAAGGAGGGAGAAACCCCTTTGAATTATAATGTTGTGTTTGGAGTGTAGGAATGAAATGCAAATGGAAATAGAATGAGAATGAGAATGGAATGAAATGACCATTCTCATTATATTGTTTGGTTGTAAATATGAAATGTGTAGGATTGGAATGATAATAACTATTCTAGTGTTTAGTTGGACCAATTTTAAATTTAAAATGTAATAAATTTCAAATTAAATTCTCCAAAATATATCTGTTAGTAAAAAATAAATTAAATTAACAAAATGACATTCTTCTATAATATTTTAAAAATAAATGGTGGTAGTGGCGGTGGTAGAGGTGGAAAGTGGTAGTGGTGTAGGTAATGGTGTTGGAAGCTAGGCGGCAGTGTTGGTGAAAGGTAGCAGTGGTGGAAGGAGGTGGTGGAAGGAAATAGTGGTGTAGCTAGCGGTGGTGGAAGCCAATGGAGGTGACTGTGGTGGTGGTGGTGGTGGTGGAAGACAGTAGTGGTGGTGGTGATGGAAGGTGGTGGAAGGCGATGGCGGCGGTGGTGGTGAAAGGCGATGGTGATGGCGGTGGTAGTAGAAGGTGGTGAAAGGCGGTGGCGGTGGTAGAGGTAGAAGACGATGGTAGTGGTGGTAGAAGGTGGTGGTGGCGGTAGTGGTGGAGGCGGTAGCGGCGGTGGTGTAAAACGATGGTGGTGGTGTTGAAAGGCGGTGGCGGTAATGGTGGTAGAAGGCGGTGGCGGTGGCAAAAAGCGGTGGCGACGGTGGTGGTAGAAGGTGGTGGAAGGCGATGGCGGTGGTGGCGGCAACGGCGGTACTGGTGGTGGTGAAAGGTGGTGGCAGAAAGCAGTGGTGGAAGGTGGTGGCGGTGGTGAAAGGTGGTAGCGGCAGTGGTGGTGGAAGACGGTGGCGATGAAAGGTGATGGTGGTGATAGTGGAGGCGATGGTGGCGGTAGCGATGGTGAAAGGCGGTGGCTGTGGTGAAAGGCGGTGGTGGCGGAAGGTGGTGAAAGGTGACGGTGGTGGTGGTGGTGGAAGGTGGTGGCGGTGGTGGCAGTAGCGGTGGTGAAAGGCAGTGGCAGAGGCGATGGTTGGGGTAAAGGAAGGCGGCGTCGGTGGTGAAAGGCGGTGTCGGTACGTAGTGAAAAGTAGTTGGGGGTGGTGGTGAAAGGTGGAGGTGGTTGTGGTGGAAGATGGTGGTGATTTTTGGACTTGGAACATGATGTTTTTTTGGAAAAGTTGATTTTTTAAAAAAATTTACTTGAGAATGGAATGGTCATTCCATAGGTTTAGTTGTGGAATAAATTTTCATTCTCAGAAATGAATTTTCATTTTAATGGAATGGCCATTCATACTTTAAATTGCATACCAAACAAAGGAATGGTTGAAATGGACATTTCATTTTATTCTATTCCTGTACACCAAACGCAGCATAAGTCTTTTGCTAGTACAAGTCTTTTGCATGCAATATATATAGGGGTTTTATTATAATTTTGTTTGTGTGAGAATGGGATTGGAGAGCCCCAAATATTATTTTGGAGCGTAAATATTAACTACCCAATAAAATAAGTAATATAAAAAAATATTATTACTTAACAAATTTTAAAATAATTTAATTATAGAAATTACTTATCATAATATATCACCAAACACTTTAACAATTTTTTTGATAACTATATTGACAAAAAGACTTTTTTTAATGTAATAACAGTGTCAAAAGAGCGCTAAATATTAGAGCCCTGTCCTTGATAAAAATAAAAATAAAAATTCTCCTTTCTATTTCAAGAAAAATACGTCACTTTCTTACCTATAAAAAGAACATTTACAAACACTTAACAATCTTTTGATAACTATAGTTACAAAAGGACTTCTTTTAATCTAATAGCAATGTCAAAAGAGCTCTAAATATTAAAACCTAATCCTTAATGATTTTTTTTTGTTACTTTTCTATTTCAAGAAAAATACTTGACTTTCTTCAGCGATGTAGTTGGTCCTGTTGAAATGGGTTATTACCCTCATATAGAAGATAAATTAATTATTTTGAACTTTTAATATCTAAAACACGTGGGTTATAATTTTTATTTTTTTTATTTTTTTTTCCTGGCAAACAGAAGAAAACTAACACAAAATAGGACGGTAGTCCAACTCCACCAACTGAAGCACCTCCGCCGGAAGATGGGAGATTACAGAATCAGCACACAAGCACGAAGAAGAGAGTGATGCAAGGGCATGGGCTGCACGATTACCTTGCCGCCACACATGAGACACCTTAACCCATGAGAAGAGGTCCAGGTTAGTACGAATATCATAAATACATGAGGCAATGCTTGAAGGGCACCTAGAACCGACATGCAAAGCTTCCACAAGAGTTTGAGCATCACTTTCAAACCAGACGTGCTGAAAATCAAAAACCCAAGCCCACATGACAGTAAGTCTAAAAGCCAATGCTTCAGCCACCAATGGAGATAAAGCCGAAAACTGTTTAAAAACAACTGCTTGAAGAACCAAGCCATCTAAATTTCTGAAAATAGCTCCCCTTCCCCAAGGCCTGTTGAATGGAAAAAAGATGCATCAACATTGCACTTGATTTTGCCGAAAGGGGGAAGAGACTAAGAAAGAGGGGAAACCGAAGGATTAAGAGTCAAATGCACATTCAAACAACACTTTTGTACGTCAAAAAACTCCCATAAACTTTAGACCATCTTGGAGGCCACAAATGAAGGATGCCAGAGAGCACCCTCAAAAACCAACCTGTGACGAATTATAGTCCAACAAGTTTTTGTAAGGCCTAGAATTTGGGAAGGATGCAAAAAGATACATCTAACTTTAACAAAAATAAGAAATAAAAAAATATACAAGAAAAGCTCTATTTAAATATAAATTAAAAATTAAATTTTCATATAATATTTGAAGTTTTTATTCCTTCCCTATTCAACACTTGATATAATACATTCTTTACATAAATTTAGTAATTTTTCAATTTGGGTATAGAAACAAACATATTCTTTTGAAAAAAAAAACTTTGGATTATGTTTAACTAGTAGTCTAGTAAGAAAATGGGTAATAATTATTTTTTAAAAATTTTAAATTTAAAATATGTGTCTAAATTGTATTGAGACACATCAACCAAGAGAATGAACTTTATCCTCCGAAGAGAGGACTCAAGTATTGTCCAAAAATAATTAAGTTACAATAAAGTTATCAGTTAAAATAGAGACTTGAAATAAAAAGTGAGTTACGGCAAAAATAATATAATTTTGGGCAAAAATATATTACTTTTTTTTAGGAATTTTCCTTTGCTACCTAACCAAACTTCAAAAAATTTCTATTTCCGTAATCGAAAATTAGGTAGCAAAGGAAAATTCCTAAAAAAAAGTAATATAATTTTGCAAAGGAAAATTCCTAAAAAAAAGTAATATAATTTAAAATTACATGGATTTCTATAAGCGACTTAAAAAGGAGAGAGACTAATCCTTGTTGGACACTGCTTTAGAGTTGACAAAATTATTCTTAGCATTAATCTTTATGGTATCTCTACTTCAATATATATATAAAGACACAAAACGTAGACCAGTAAGCTAGTTTTGCAACTAAAGAAGAGAGGTTTTCTGTTTAGAGATCGAGAGATGGAAGGTGGGTACGGGAGAGAGATGAAGAGGGCTGAGGTACCTGAAAGAGTTTATAAAACAAGAATTTATATGTTCGAGTGGAAGCAGGAAGAGTTTTCCAGCAATGAGGAGGTAGGATTCCTCATTCTCCGTTTATGTACCAGTAGTAATACTGGTGTTAAGAAAGACGAATATGTTGTCAAACAAGTCTCTCTCCATCTGTTGTTCTCTCGACACTTCTTACCATCATTGATCGATACCATTCGGTCCGCACAAGTTTTCTTGGAAGACACTAATGCTCTTATCCTATCAGAAGCTATTTTTTGGTTCGTCAGTAATTTTCAGCTTACCTCCATGCCAAACTCGTTTGCTTCAAGAAAGTCCAAGATCGTCATCGTTGCAACTGTTTTTGTCAAGAGACTTGCTGATGAAAAAGTGGACGATGGTGATTCAACTGATTTAAAAGTTGAAGAAGAAGCTGAGGATAAGAACTTGATTGATGATCATAATGATAATAGTATTGGCTCAAACATGGTTGGGGAGAAGGCGGCTTATTATTTGGAAGCAAGGAAGAAGTCCCATCTGAAAATTGTAAGCATGTTAAGACGTTATTTAAACATTGAATTACCAGTTGGAACTCATGAACCAGCTGATGTTTTGAAAAAAATTGATCCTGCATTGAAGATGAACAGATTGATTGGCCATCGTAGACCACCAGCAGATATGTGTCCCATATGTCTACAGGGGTTCTTAACCGGAGCGTATGTCACAACGACACCATGTTCGCATGTATTCCATAGTCATTGCATGTTGACGTGGTTGCTAAAAAATAAATCCTGCCCTATGTGTCGATCACTCTGCGCAACTGAAGTTCATATATAAATTTATTTATATTATAATGACTTTGATTTTTTCATTAATTCTCTCTTGTGATTCAAGTGTGAATAATAAGAGTACAAGTTTGTGATGTCGTGGTTCGAATTGTTGTTTCGGACCGGATCGTTAAAGTGAGCTTTGTGTTTTGATATTCTTTTTTTGATTGCGGGTTTGTAACCCGTATGTTAAGGTGCTTAAGGTTTGGAGCAAGACAAGAGAAAACACAACAAATTGTAGAAAAGACGGTGAAAGAGGGTAGTCACAACTTATGTTGAGCCACATAACTATTTTTGTCTTGTATCATGCTTGTTTTTGCTTTATTTCGTGATTATTTCTTGGTTCGTTACAATTTATCCTAACAAAACTTAAGGAAGCACACAACACACCCAAACCAATAAAATCACTAAATATCGAGAGTGGCTAGGCACAAAACAGCCCAGCCAATTAAATTTGAGGCGAAAGGAGAACCAAAAAATTAAGAGAATATCTCAGTTTAACTGAGTGCTATCCCCTTCACATAATAAATACATTCCAATTATAATTGTTGAAGTAAAATTTTGCACAAATGAATTCTTTTGTAGGAACCACTCGCCAGCCGAGTACCCTCCGATCAAATCAATTTTATGGGGTCTTTATATTAAAAAATATAAAGTGGATGAATTGCTAATGGAGATAAAAGAATAGACCAAGGATAGAGGAATCAAATTTAATAAACCTGAATATATTCATCGAAAGAGTGAAATCAAAAGGCTCAAGAATACTCCAGTAAAATTGAAGCTTTGGAAGAAGGGGGAGGGGTTGATAAGATTGTAGGGTTAAAAGAGAAACCGTGGTTGAAGGATTCAAGGAGATATGCAACCGTGGTTGGAAATGGAGGAAGGAGAGAGAGACCTCTTTGAATTACAAGTAGGGGTGCACACGGTTCGGATCTTTACGGTTCTTGTTGGAACCGGAACCAGAACCGAACTCAACGGTTCTTAAAAAATGGAACCAGAACCGAAACCGTAGACCGTGGAACCGAACCCTGAAACCATAGAACCGTTGACCAAGTTGACTTTTTCAATATTATTTTAATTTCCCTTAAAAAAAAATACAAATACAATAACAAAAATAAAAACATAAATAAAGACACAATATAAAAATATTACATCCCATAAATTTAGTTACTCCATTAGAATTACAAAAAAGTTATAAAAAAGTGAATCAACATTCAACAATCCAACATCATTCACTAATAGCGATATGAAATCTAATAGTCCATTATAAAGCATCATCAGCAACAGCAATGACTCCTCTATTGTAGCTGCTCACACAGAAAGCATCTTCCCCACCTTTTAAAAAAAGCCAAGAGTTACAGAATGCAGTGAATTTGAAACTAAAAATTGACATTTGGCAAACCAGTAGAAGCACTAAACTCAAATAGAGAGAACAATCAAGGGAAAGAGAGAACAAAACAAATCATGTGATCATTCAAAATCATAAATATATGTTTTATTTTTTTGACAAAACCACGAGGAGAAAAAATGTTCTAAGTTGGAAAATGATAGTGATACCCTAAATAATTTCAAATCCACATCCACAAATTGGAAAAGAAATTGAGGAAAAAATATATATATATATATATATATATATATATATATAGAAATGAATGCTCTAAAAATAAAAATAAATAAAAACAGAAATAAATCTAAACATTGTTACTCCTTTGAGGCCAAGTCTTGACATTAAAAAATGTAACTAAAATTTTCTAACATAAAGCATGATAATAATAATCATTTTATACCACTTGTTGAAAGACTTGGTAAATCATGTTTAAGAGGAAAAAAATAATAATAATAAAAAATAAAAAATAAAAAACCAAGTTTGATCCTTTTATCTAATTAAGAACCACGAAAGCCATTATAGCTCAAATGCATGTAAAAATACCCACTAAAACAAATTAAGTTACAGAAGTACAAAATCCTATCTCAAAATAACCACGTTGTTATGGATGATCAAGAAATATAAAGAAAATCTGTCAGATTTGAAATACTTACCTACCAAACTGAGACCGGAAGCCGAAGATCTATCAGATTTGAGAAGACAGAGACCAATCAGACCGAATCCACGAATCACTGAATTAGAGGCGAGTCGGCGCCGCGAGAGTCGCGAGTGTGATCTGAGAAGATGGAGACTTCTGAGTTCTGAGAAGATAGAGAGTAGAGACCAGTTGAGACTTGAGATAGTGAGAGGGCGAGAGGCTGAGAGCAGAGGAGAGCAGAGGAGGGGAAGGGAGGCGGAGGTGCGGAGTGAGTTTGAGAGGTTAGGTAAACTTAGGTTTAGGTTTTGATAGACAAAATTTGTGATTTTAATTTTTTATCCAATATCTGATAAATTAAATCCAATTGAATCAATCAATCAATGATTATTTGAGCACAGCCCACACTCCACAGCCAACAGCCCACTAGTGTGTATATATATATATATATATATATATATATATATGTTCGGATCTGGAACCAAACTGTGAGTTAAGAACCGGAACCGGTCTAAACCGTTCCTTATTTTAAGAACTGGAACTGGAACCGGGAGAATTTCGGTTCCAATTCCGGTTCTATGATTCTTTTGTGCACCTCTAATTATAAGTCTTTTGCGCACCCCTAATTATAAGTCTTTTGCCTGTACTATATGTAGGGGTTTTAAGGTAATTTTGTTTGAGTGAGAATGGGATTGGAGGCCCACAAATATTATTTTAGAGCGCTAATATCACTACCTAACAAAATAAGTAATATATAAGTATTTTAAAAAATATTATTACTAAATAAACTTAAAAATAATTTAATTATAGAAATTACTTATCATAATATATCATCAAACACTTAACAATTTTTTTATAACTATACAAAAGGTAGCAACGTCAAAAGAGCACTAAATATTAGACCCCAATCCTTGATGATTTTTTTTTTCACCTTTCTATTTCAAGAGAAATACGTAATTTTTTTTATTTTATTTACTAATGTACTTATTATGATATATCACCGAACACTTATTTGATAGTTATAGCTACAAAAGGACTTCTTTTAATCTATTAACAATGTCAAAAGACCTCTAAATATTAGAATGCAAACATTGATGAATTTTTTTTTCCCTTTCTATTTAAAAAAAATATATATATAAGTGGCTTTTTTACACGACTTTCTTACATATACGAAAAACATTTACTGATGAAGTTGGTCCAGTTGAAACAGGTTATTACCCATTTGGAATGAATCAAGAACATTCACTGATGAAGTTGGCATGTTGAAATGGGTTATTACCCATTTGGAATTAATTTGATCATATAAAGATAAAATAATT